CCCACACAATCCATCCATCAATCCAGTTCACAATCAGTACACCACCAATGCCTGATAAAGCCACGATTTGTACTTTTTATACACATACACATACACATTTCATCAATCTTTCTCACAATCAGTACAATATCAATGCTTGATTGAACCCAGATTTGTGCTTATATATACCCACACACCCATCAGCACAAAAGCAAATTATGATTCCCACAAAAAGGCTATGCTGTTATTTTTTTCATGAGAGTATTTTTTTTATAATCATACCATTTCACTCTCAACGCACATCAAGTTATTGTTGATGCTTATTAGAAGAGGTGTCACAGTGTGTGCTGTGAAACCAGTTACTTCAGAACACCATCTCTAGCATATCAGCCCAAATGACTTAGTCGTTGTATGTGTTTTACATAAATTTAGGTTTCACACCACAATTATGATTCATGCATGAAATTTTAAAACAACTTATTCATTATATCCTACTTCAAAGTGCATCTTTGTAAATTGTTCAATGTTGCAGATATCATTAGAGTATAATAGAGAGATCATGTGCTTTCCTTGATTTTTTAAAAAACTATGGGTACTTGATTCAGCATCTTCAAGTGTAACATGTACTTTATACAAAATGTACCTATATGGCTTAAAGAGCCATGAAGTTTATAATGGACTCTGAACAATAAAGAGTTGATTTTCTTTCAAGTCTGTTGCCAACAGCTTCTGTTGAGTTCTGATCAAGTTGTTTTTCATCAGTTTTAGGTCACTACATAGCACCAAACAAGATATATGTGACTATGAATATTACAGCTGTGATTTTGTGAATATAAATTATGAAATATAAATTGTCCATGTGTGAAGATTCTCAAAAAGTCAAATAGACAAACTGGAAATACAGAATGATGTAGCACTAATAACTAAAGATTAATAAATTTAAATCCATGATTATGCCAGGTTATTCACATAGTATGTATTTTTCTCTCAACAAAACAGTGGATTTAATAAATATGCAAGAGATATCAAATCCTCTAAAACAGTTGCTTTGCTATTTACATTTATGTAAATGAAACTTGGCTTAAATATATATATATTAAATTATATGTCCATCAAGTAATATTCTGTATGAAAAAGTAGTATTTACCTGAATTGCAGATAATGTGAGATATTATGCTGCATTGAAGAACAATTGCTTAATTAGAAACAAACTCTAGAGTTAATATGTACAAAAAAATGTAGGTTATGTCAAGTTTGTGAAATATTTGTAATGGATATGTTAACCTGTAAACATGTGAATCTGATGGCATTGATTTACTATACTATAATAATGAATATTTATTCCTAAAATTTTTTATGTGTATCAATATTTGTTTTTGTTTTGATTCTTCCAAGGTGAGAGAGAGAGTGAGTGGGAATGGAAAGCAGTGAGTATTCACTATCAAAATCCAAAAGTGTTAGCAAGAGATAAATTAACATTTTGATTTTCTCATTTTTAGTGCAAGAAAGGTCATAATATAATACAAGTTGATGTGCCTCAGTATTCAGATGAAATAGATCCATATCCTAAACCTGTTAAAGGTGGTTTTAGGTGTGAAGCACCAAGGTAAATTAAAATCTATATTACCTAGGACAATTTTACAGTGTATACCAGATTGTTGTTTACTATCTCGATTTGAAAGCCAAAGTCACAAATTTTACCTGCAATTATTGATTTTCTTCAATGATATACACAAACTATGCATACTTTGTGTTTTGTTTTAGTCGCTCAGGAGTACTGAGTCATGTGTTTTCCAAAACTGGTGTCTACTATTACTGCGATCAGGACTATGATGACAACAGAGAATATTTGGGAGTTATTCTTGTCAAACCAAAAGAAAGAGAACATTATATTGAACTCACTTCCGATGGATTTTATCCAGGTAATGCAACGTTTAAGTCATATTTGAATTTAATTTTAATTTATATGATAGAAATTTCATATAAACTGAAAATATAAAATTAATTTTTCATATTTGATAATAGATGCTAGAACCATCAAACAAAAAGAGACTGTGCAACGCTTGTTGTATATATCATGTGTTCATTTTATGCAAGTGTGTTGGGCAATGCACCTATGTCATCTCATTTTTTTCTGGTTGCTCCCTAAGCATTCAAAGCTAATGCATTTAGATAATAAATCAACATTTTTTTTCCAACCTCATAATAAATTGTATTTCGCTTAATTGACCCAGTGTCTTAGTTTTCACCTTTTTGTGTCAATATACTTTATGTTATTAATGGTTCATTGCTAAGTGCTGTGATTGCTTTAGTTTGTACATGTATCTCAAATACTAGGCTTGTATTTATGGCTGCCCATGTACAAAAATGGAAACATACACATGCCGGAATAGATATATAATTATACATTGAAGTAAATACTAACAGTTCCTTGTCTGTGTTCATTCTTAAATGTACGATTTGATTTTTATTCTTTTTAAATGAACATTTTTGTTTTTCATTCTTGTTGCCACAGATACATATCTTATGATGATTCATAAATTTAATGATTTATATTAAAAAAAAATGCATTTTCAAAATTGCAGTTATCTTCACATGTGTCAATATCTAATATGTAATTTCTTAGCTCATCTATCACTGATTGCTTCATCTTCCTTTTTTCTTTTAGATCTTGGTGCAATATCAGCAGGGGATCGTGTCTGGTGGATTTGGGACCCACAGTCAGTACAGGATCATTTCTCCATTATGGAGGTACGATTCGACCCATGTTGTAATATATACACTGAAATTCGACAATGCAAAATATTAAAGCACATTTCATACATCACATATGGAGCACAAAATGGTCTTGGGTTTAGTATGGGTTGGCGGGCAGTTCATTCTTGCTGAATAGTTTTGTAGACAATGGCTCTGCTATCTCTATATTTATTAAACATTCTCAAAACACATTTATGGTGTCATCCTGGATCGTCATATACTCATGCAGTCAAAATATGAAAAAAACAAACATATTTCATACATCACATATGGAGCACAAAATGGTCTTGGGTTTAGTATGGGTTGGCGGGCAGTTCATTCTTGCTGAATAGTTTTGTTGACAATGGCTCTGCTATCTCTATATTTATTAAGCATCTCAAAACACATTTATGGTGTCATCCTGGATTGTCATATACTCATGCAGTCAAAATATGAAAAAACAAACAAATTTCATACATTATGAAGATGAAATAAACATTCTGTTTTTTTCCCAGGTTGATCGCTGTCTTGCTGGAAATGATAAAGTCAATTCTGACCGGGATTGTAACAGTAAGACATATTAAACTTTCATAAATTACCCCAATAATAGTGATTTTAACTGATTTTAAATGTTCTCAAATTTTTCATATTTTTGGTCATCATTTACACAGGTTAAACTTTTTTATGTTTTTTTTCCCAGTGATTTTACAAAAATTGAAAAAAAAAATAACTTTTCACGAAAAATAAAAACATAATGATATTTTTAAACTGTTTTCTGAGCATGTATCGGTAGTAAATGAGCTGATCTGTTGTACCTTGAAGTTCTTGAAATTAATAAACTGAATGTACTCTTATTTGATTCTCAAGATTTATGCAGTTATGTTAATAATGATGATGCTACCTTGATAAGCTGTATTGGTATTGAGACAATTCAACTGAACACAGTGGGTGTGTATCATTACCGTGTATCAGACAGCCCTGTCAACGTGGGCTGCTCATCAATCATTGTTAACCCCAAACCAAAGGTAAGTCATTCTAGTATTTCCTAAAGCAAGGAAAATGCAGTGTCTACAGAATTTATTAAGCAAGCCAATTAACACTTATGAAAGTGGATCTGCTGGCTATACCATGCACTGAATTGACTAATGCTCATCAAGGATTGCCTAGTTTATCTGCAATCTGTACATCTGTCTTACGGTAGTTTACTACCATTAAAAAACATACTCAGAAATCATCAAAATCCAGCAAGAGGGGTTGGGTCACTATAATGTTCAAAATTCTGAAAACTAAATATGAATGACTTGCATATGTAATTCATTGACAATTTTTTAATGATTTAGTGTGATCAATTTTTCTGTGTTTTCATGGTAGCTACCATTAACTACCTTAAATCAGACTTTGTGCTATGCATCTATATTAAGGTATTCACTTAGCTGTATGATGCATTCTGCACCGTTTTTTTTTATGGCGCAGCGTTGTCAGATGATTCAATTTATATTAACACATATGTAGCGTACATGAATGGAAAAAAATGGCATCAGCAGACGATGTGTTAAGCAAACAAACAAATTATTTAGAGCACTACAAATTTTCAATATATTTCCTGTAGTGCTCAAGAATTATTAGTCTGAACATTCTCATAAATATTATTCATTTTATTTGAAAATCTCTTCTCTATGAGAATTATTCAAAAAACATTTCTAGTCAGAATTTCTTCCACAAATATTTTGTACTGGAAAAAAACATGCAAAATTGATGATATATGTCAAAATCAATAATTATGTGACACGTTTAAAATAATAATAAACATAATTCAAGTTATTTGTGCTCATCAGTCTTTTCACTTTCTGGTAGATGCTGATAAATGTCATTGCTAGATGATTCAATTTTGAATGTCAGATTAGTATAGTCCAAATTTGCAATTACAGGACCATGTTATCACAGTCAGTGATTCTGGATTTGATCCAAGGGTGTCCACATTGTATCCTGGTGACAGAGTCTGGTGGATTTGGGAAGACTGCAAAGAAGAACACAATATCATTCAGGTATAGAATCTATTCTATTCTATTCTATTCTATTCTATTCTATTCTATTCTATTCTATTCTATTCTATTCTATTCTATTCTATTCTATTCTATTCTATTCTATTCTATTCTATTCTATTCTATTCTATTCTATTCTATTCTATTCTATTCTATTCTATTCTATTCTATTCTATTCTATTCCCATTCCCATTCCCATTCCCATTCCAATTCCCATTCCCATTCCCATTCCATTCTTGCTGCCAAAATAAAAAACAGTGGGTTTGTTGTTTGTTTACTCCAGGTATCTCATCAAGGAAGACCTATCAAAGATGGATTCTGTAGTGGAGCTCCATTAGACAGTCCTGGAGCCTTTGTCTATCAATTTAGTGAGACTGGTGTCTACTATTTTATTAGGTGATTATTATATGTGGCATTCTTTACAGAATTTGCACACAAATACATATTTTATTCTTTTAGTTAAGAATTCTGTATTATGATTATACCCTGTTTACATTCAAATATGTGCAAGCCAAATTTTCAAAAATTTGTATTTTATTTTCACAGCATAGGACAGCCAAAGGCATTTGGGGCAATTGTTATATCATCACAGCCTCTGGTAAGATTATTAACTCATATTAGTTGTGCTATTTGCCATTTGAAAGCAGTTTTTGAGGTCTATGCACACACAGATAAACAAGATTGTGTTTGAATTGAAAATATACAATGTATTTAACAACAAACCAATTATTATTCTTCCACACGTAGAAATTTTCATCAGGAAATTTATTTGTATTTTTGCATGTTATATATTTTTGCTTCACACATTTATCTTGCCATAGACCCTTCTCCTCACCCGATATGGCACTGTGAGGGATCCATTATTATTCAAATAAGGGATTGAATAGGGATGATTGTTCAAGTGATGGGCTCTACTGTGTCTTGTTAATTATTATGCATATTCCTGTTCTTACCATGATGATTGATGATTATTTCTCACCTAGGTCAGTCAGGTCAGAGTCTCTAAAAATACCATACAGCCTGATCCTGTATTGGCACTGACCAATGATGTAGTAGTATGGATGTGGCCAGGGCTTAGAAAGCATGGCATAACGCAAGTCGCTGATACCAAACAGGTGTATGAACTACAATCGTACACTCAAGATATTGTAACACCAAGGTATGCTTAATTCAGATTGTGAATTTTGTTTCTCATCTTGCACTCATTTGATATCATCCACAGCACCATATCAGGATGTGTGACATTCATGGGTCAGAAAGTACCAGGATGTGTGAGTTGCAGGGGTCAGAAAGTACCAAGATGTGTGAGTTGCAGGGGTCAGAAAGTACCAGGATGTGTGACTTTCAGGGGTCAGAAATTACCAGGATGTGTGACTTTCAGGGGTCAGAAAGTACCAGGATGTGTGACTTTCAGGGGTCAGAAAGTACCAGATGTGTGATTTGCAGGGTCAGAAAGTACCAGGATGTGTTATTTTCTGGAGTCAGAAAGTATCAGGATGTGTGAGTTTCAGGGGTCAGAAAGTACCAGGATGTGTAACATTCATGGGTCAGAAAGTACCAGGATGTGTGACTTTCAGGGGTCAGAAAGTACCAGATGTGTGAGTTGCAGGGGTCAGAAAGTACCAGGATGTGTGACTTTCAAGGGTCAGAAAATACCAGGATGTGTGACATTCATGGGTCAGAAAGTACCAGGATGTGTAAGTTGCAGGGGTCAGAAAGTACCAGGATGTGTGACTTTAAGGGGTCAGAAAGTACCAGGATGTGTGAGTTTCAGGGGTCAGAAAGTACCAGGATGTGTGAGTTGCAGGGGTCAGAAAGTACCAGGATGTGTGACTTTAAGGGGTCAGAAAGTACCAGGATGTGTGACTTTCAGGGGTCAGAAAGTACCAGATGTGTGAGTTGCAGGGTCAGAAAGTACCAGGATGTGTTATTTTCTGGGGTCAGAAAGTACCAGGATGTGCGAGTTTCAGGGGTCAGAAAGTACCAGGATGTGTGAGTTTCAAGGATCAGAAAGTACAAAGATGTGTGATTTTCAGGGTTAGAAAATACAAAGATGTGTGAGTTTCAGGGGTCAGAAAGTACAAAGATGTGCGAGTTTCAGGGGTCAGAAAGTACAAAGATGTGTGAGTTTCAGGGGTCAGAAAGTACAAAGATGTGTGAGTTTCAAGGGTCAGAAAGTACAAAGATGTGTGAGTTTCAGGGGTCAGAAAGTACAAAGATGTGTGAGTTTCAAGGGTCAGAAAGTACCAGAATAATTAATAATAGTTTTGGAAAGTTAATATTGTATTTGTTGATAAAATTCCCTCTGCACTATGAAACATTAAGGTCATTCAGTTTACTGTAAAATACTTTATTTTCGCTTGGAATTAATTTTTGCTATTTTCGCTGAAGAATGATTCAGTGAAAATAAAATCCAGCGAATATACCTTTTTCCCTCTATTTTACATCCAACTTGTCAGAACTCAGTGAAAATAAATTCCATCCAAAACACTCAAAAAGTCTTTTCAGCGAAAATTAATTCCAGCTAAAATAAAGTATTTTACAGTAATTTCTAATTTCTCTTGGCAAGCTGCACTGCACTGCACTATGTACATTTGTATTAAGAGATTATATTCCACTCACAGGAGGTGTTTTGCATTGAAGTTCAGCACCCCCAATATCTACCATTATTACAGTAAAGCATTCTCAGGCAATGATGATAAATATTTGGTAAGTTGAGATGGAATTATATTTATTTTTTAAGTTTTTTAATGGAAAATCACTAAACTTCTGCAGGCTTTCAATGGATACCTTTATAGCATACTTTAATAGGACAAATAAATATTTAAAGCACTTCATATCAACCAGTTACTGTATTTAGGCATGTTAAAGAAGCTACATGTATATTGGTAATATGACATTTTCTTTGTTGTTCCACATGTGTATTCAAAAGGGCTGCTTGGTGGGCATGCATGTTGGTGTTATATACAATTGATACTTGTTAGGTGTTTAATACATTCAGGAAGGCAGAACCACCAGACATGTTCAGTGTTTGATAGGTTGTTCAGGAATTCAGACATGTTGAGTGTTTAATAGGTTGTCCAGGAAGGCAAGAACATTTTCTGTGCTACACACTTACCTGATTGTCTTGACAAGTATGTGAAAATTTGTCTTTCATGACACTTCAACACATACATGTATACTTAGAGTATGAAACTGTCACTAGCTGACAGACAGTCAGACATGATTTTCTTTTGACCAATGAATGATCCATGTTTAAAATAATTTGTAGCAGTTAAAAATGCAGTCTAGTTAGAAGCACAGTGATTGCATAGATTGAAATCTTAACTTGTAAAGTTTCAGTTGATCATGTTTGTAGATCTCTTTTTTTATATTTTGATTAGATGTGTGATAAATTACTAAAGCCTTAAATCCATCTTCAACAACCTTACATTGTGCTATCGTGTCATATTAGCTGTGTTTTTTTAGGTTACTGCAGTAGCATTAGCACATTGATTGGATTTGGTGTCTTGTTGCAAATAAATCTAAAGTGTTGTGGGAGTATACAATAACAACTGTTGCTTCTAAGTTCTAAGTTTGCACATGTACTTTGATGAGCTTCATTGTCGCTGACTCTGTTAAAACGAAATCTAAGCATGCATTGCAAATGTAAACTCGCCAGTATGTTTGCATGATTTATTTTATTATTATTTTATTATTTGAACAAATCTGTGAAAGCGAGTATGAAGCATATATGGCTAATGATGCGAAAAAAGAATTGTTCTTTTTCTATTTTTAACAATTATATTAAAGCGAGAGGGTCGTCACCTGCGCACACACGGGAATTGAGTCCCAAGCGATGATAACAACACATGCTAAAAACGCAAAGGCTCATGGGTGGACGCTTGTTTGTAAACAATGACACGTTATGGCCATCTGACGCATGCGCATGTGACGACTCCCCGCTTTAATTTTGTTTATTATTTTTTTTAGTATGAACACAGTAGCAAGTGTGTTTTAAGCACCGTAATTATCAACAATGCAAGTGATAGTGTTGTTGTACATGTCTCAAGTAATAAGGGATTCAAGCCAAACACAGTCAATATACTTAGGGTAAGTGCAACATTGTGTAATATTTTTTACTTTTTACTTTAAATTTCGCTGATTTAGCATTTCAGGCATATTCAGTGGGTTTTAAATTCACGGTTTTATCATTTAGATAATGTGTTGTATGCTAAATTTTACATATTCACTGGGTTTTAATTTGGCTCATTTTCCAGTCAGCGAAATAAGCAAAATTAAAACCCAGTGAATAATTAAACCGTTTACAGTAGTGCACAGACTTTATCTGAAATCAAAAAGTATTTTCAAAGGTATTTAGTATCCAGAAACTTGTCTGGCATTTTATCAGACACTGTTTATTGGTTTCAGTACTTTGGATATGAATGTATGCAACATTGGAACATTTTACGCCAATTGTCTTATGGGAAAAGTGAATGTACCCACTTCAGTATTCAAGATGTGTTGACATATGTCATTTATTTTGTAAGTACATGTATTTGGTGTTCATGTATCTGTTTTGTTGAATTTCAGGGTCACAGTGTTCTTTGGTCATGGAAAGACTGTGAGGAGGATGAAGTGCATAATATAGTACATGTCAACCCCCCAGACCATGAGAAACCATACACTCCAGTGTCTGATGAGACTGCCTTTGACAGTGGTCCAGCTATCACCAACAATAGTTTTATTTACACGTTTGATGAGCCGGGTAGTTATTTTGTGGCATCACAAGGAACCCCAGGTTACGTTGGCACTGTGAATGTCCTTGATAAAGGTGAGCAGTGTAACATATCTCTCAGCTGAGAAAGTGTAAACATTTACTGGTGTACTATATCTGGCCAATGTATTCTTTATAATCGTTTGGTAACTTTGGAGCTACACAGAATAAGACACAAAAAATAATATAAAATATATATAGCAATATATCTGAAAATTATTATTTTGTAATGGTTAAAATATGCAATGTGTGTTGATTGTTTTTATCTATATTGTTGCATTCAAGTGTGAATTTCTTGTACAAGTATTTAGTAATTGTTATTGTTAATATCAATAATGATGACGAGACAGACTGTTTTTCAAAATTATGCTGGCTTGGTGAATCAGAACATAATTATTATTAAAGATTAAATTGTAGCAAAAATGAATATACATTTTTTTGACAGAGGTGTTAACAGCCATGCCAGTGATATCTTCTGATGTGAATGGTGGTACGGTTGAAAGATGGCACACGGTATATTTACAATGTAGTACCGATGGTAGTACTATATTTTACACTTTAGATGGTTCCAATCCAGAATATCATGGCCAATTCACAAAGGTAAGTTGGTTATTCTAAAAAAATAATTTGAAGTTTTTTATTAATTCTTAAAACATTTTTGTGATTACCTTGATTGTCAAAAAAGGATTTACTTTAGATACATATAAAAGGTATATAATAGGAAAATTAAATAATTCACAATGTATTGGCACACTTTATCATTACTGATACTATTTCAAACCTGAGCTATGTGCACTCAATAAACACTTCTTTATTGTATTTTTTATTTTTTTATTGATTTATGATTACTACCTTTTCAGTCTCCCTTATATCTGAAGAATTTCAATTGAGGGAGAACAGCAGAATTTTATGTGCACATGTTATACTGCAGCAGGCTGATTTTTGTCTTGCTTTGAATTAGTATTCTCCATCTATAATGGACATCCAGTGATGGATTTGTCTTAGAATTAAAACACTTTCCCACAGTATGCATTCACATTTAAACAAACAATAAATACACTATAAACTTTATAATTTTTTTAGGAATTGCAAATTTTTGTAGCAGTGAAAATTTCTCTTATAACACAGTGTCAAGAATTTTGAGTAATTTTTTCTTCACAAATGACATAAAATCCTAAAATCAGGAAAAGTTTTAGCAGCAAAAATTTTACACATGTTTTAATTGTCAACTTGTCACTTAAATCCTGAGAAATGACCATACTGTTGATTCCTGTAAATTACCTGGCTACATCAGCTCTTTACACTCACATATGCATTGTTATCTCCTTTCCATGTAGATTTACAAACCAAATAAGGGCATTATTTTAAGAGAATCAGGATTACAAGTCATTCGTGCAATGGCAGTCAGTGATGATGCTTTAAACAGTAAAATATTTACATCTAAGTAAGTATATTTATTAATGATAAGTACATTATTAATTGCATTTCGATATTGATTAGTAAAGTAAAAAATTGTTATTGAAATAAAACTTCCTCTAAGTTCAGTTTTATAATTTCTGCTATTCTAAATGTAGACGATTCTGGATACTGGAAGGTGAAAAACGAGAGAATGGAGATGAAGAAATGGTTTTATCAACAGAGGAAGATGATGAAGAAGATGATGATTTCCAAGATACAGCAACAGTAAGTAATGTTATACAATGTTATACAGAGTATAAGTTTATTATTGGTTAGAAGATTATTTAATATATCTGTTAATCAATTTTAACCTTTTTTTATCTAATTTTGGATACTGTAGCAACAGTCACCTTTCAATTCTTCTACTATTCTGGCATACCCCTCGGTATTACACTGAAATAAAAACAAGAGTATTGCCCAAACTTAGCCACTGAGGGCATTGTTTCTTAAATACTATAAATGCATTAATTATTCACCTAATTTTAATTTCAATATTTTCGCTGGTATGTAAAATCTCTTTAAAAAAAATCTATAAGGAAATGTAAAAATACAACTATGCTCATTGTTTTACAGACAGATTTTTGAGCTTAAAACCCAGTGAAATTGCTCAAAAGATCAAATTAGTTACTATATTCACTATGAAGGTGAAATTTCACAAAATGATTCTCACAATTTTTGTTTTTAATTATATCAGACGATGAAATGGCATTGGTGGAATTGTGTTCCTGAAGTTCAAGGCTGGATTGTATCCCCAGGATGTGTTGAAGTATATTGGGAAATGCCTGAAGATATCTATAAGCCACAGATCAAAACATACCAGGTAATCCAACACTGTGAAGAAATAATAAACCTATTATTAAATAATAATATCTCCACATCAAACACATGATAGAAATATAGAAACATGTATAATGCGTGGAAATAAATTTTAATGCAGTTATTGAATATTACAGTTTTCAGTCTAATCTTTTTTAATTCTGCAGGTTTATGTTAACAATGTATGTTACTGTGAAGCCCTGCCATCTGACTGTCACAGTGTCCGTATCCTTGGCTTTGCTGGTGGCTGTGACTATATTATTAAAATTGTTGCTTTGCCAAAAGACTCGCAATTTCTTCCCCAAGAATCCAACAAACTGGTATGTAAAAAAATATACTTTGTAGTGCATTTGAAGTTTTGCATTCTATATCATCAATTCTAACATTTTTATTAACCTTACACAGAGAAAAAACCCTGTCCTTTTTCATAACATGAATTTTCTGGAAAACTGTTTCTCTTGTAGTTTTCCACTCGGAAATGGACACAAATGATTTTCATGTATATATACATCATCTTCATAAAATGCAAATATTTCTATGTAATTCTGTGGCCTGAAAATGCTATTATTAAAAACTATATGCAATATGTCCTGTATGATGTTCAAGTACATTTCTTATCATTGGAATTACTCAATACTTAAAATGCCTCAATGCTTTTTGCATTCTTTCATTTATCATTCACACTATTTTGTGCTATTCTATGTTTCTTAGAGAGTGCATATACCAGAGAGAACTAAGAATAAGGGACCCCTTATCAGCTGTGAAATACAATATCAGCCTGATGTGATGGCAATAGTATGGATGGCAATACATGACAAGGAAAACCCAGTCACATCATATAGACTGTATGTCAATGATCAGAAGTGTGGAGATGAGGTATTAAAGTATTACTTTCTTTAGCTTGCAGTTAACCTGCCATAAAAACAATAGAATCCACCCATCAGTTTGCATACCTGCCATAAAAACAATAGAACCAACCCATCAGTTTGCCCACCTGCCATAAAAACAAAAGAATTCACCCATTAGTTTGCACACTGCCATAAAAACAAAAGAATCTACCCATTAGTTTGCACAAATGCCATAAAAACAAAAGAATCCACCATCAGTGTGCACACCTGTCATAAAAACAATAGAATCCATCCATCAGTTTGCACACAAGTCATTAAAACAATAGAATCCACCCATCAGTTTGCACACTTGCCATAAAAACAATAGAATCCACCCATCAGTTTGCATACCTGCTATAAAAACAATAAAATCCACCCATCAGTTTGCACACCTGCATAAAAACAAAAGAATCCACCCATCACTTTGCATAACTGCCATAAAAACAATAGAATCCACCCATCACTTTGCACACCTGCCATAAAAACAATAGAATCCATTCATCAGTTTGCATACCTGCCATAAAAACAATAGAATCCACCAATCAGTTTGCACACCTGTCATAAAAACAATAGAATCCACTCATTAGTTTGCACACCAGCCATAAAAACAAAAGAATCCACCCATCAGTTTGCACACTTGCCATAAAAACATTAAAATCCACCCATCAGTTTACACACCTGTATTAAAAACAATAAAATCCACCCATCAGTTTGCACACTTGCCATAAAAGCAATAGAATCCACCCATCAGTTTGCACACATGTCATAAAAACAAAAGAATCCACCCATTAGTTTGCACACCGGCCATAAAAACAAAAGAATCCACCCATCAGTTTGCACACTTGCCATAAAAACAATAGAATACACCCATCAGTTTGCACACCTGTCATAAAAACAATAGAATCCACCCATTAGTTTGTCCATTAGTGTCTGTGAGTCTGAGGAACTAAAAACATCTATGGAAAATATCCGAAGAGAACTACAGGTGGAAAATGACCATCTATTGGATGGTGCAGCTGTTCGTGCTCGTGCGGATTGGTATGAATTGGGGGAAAAAACACAAAATGTTTGTTATGCCTTGAAAAACAAAATGCCAAAAAAACTCTCAAATCACTCAGTTTGCACACCAGCCATAAAAACAAAAGAATCCACCCATCAGTTTGCGCACCTGTCATAAAAACAAAAGAATCCACCCATTAATCAGTAGAATCTTTCATACGTTTTCAGATAATGCTACTAATTTATTATTATGTGTTGCATATTTATTGATCTTTAGGTTGTGCCAGATGAAGGAAGTAACAAATGTAAAGTTGTCATCCAAGGATGTGAGATAAATACTCTATATAAAGTGTGTGTTATAGCTGAACAAGAAGGTAATCCATCATCAATTGTAGCCAGTAGAGAATTCTCTAAATTTTTGTTGACAATTATAAATATATTGAAGCAAATTGACTTCATAGTTGTAAATATTAGATCTGTAATTAATTCAATTTACCACACAACTTATCAACTGGGGTTTGTAAGTAATGCTTAAACAATGGGGGTTTTAACATTATGGATTGTATTTTCGAGAGATCATGGAATGATTTTATTATTCCTGCTACAAATGGTGCATTAATATTAAACCCAGAAAACAAAACAGCTAAGTCTATGGTATTAACAATTTGCTGTAAGAGTTCCATCAAAATCCAGTTGAGAACAAATAAAAAATCCAGCATAGATATATTGGTACACCACAGTCATGTGATTGTTACACATTGAAAAGTTGTCTTTGATGGTGACTCCAGCACGATGAATACAATAAATTAAAGACAGTAGACAAAACTTAACAAGACATATGTTAGTTACAATTTATTCTTAAATTTCTTTCTTCATAATTTGTCATAAACTGTAGTTTCTGAGATCAACCAAATGTATTTATACATAATCTGATTAACAGGTAATGAAAATGGTTTAGTATCCAATGAACTTCCAGTGTTGCTACCACAAACCACCCAACATATCATACTACCCCAAGGTAGAAGTCTATTAGAAGAAGACCTCCAGTGTTATATAACAGTTACTAGAGGGACTGGTCACCCTCCTGGTAAGTATGGACTTTGGATTTTATCATTTTTTCAAATAACATCCAGATTTTTTTCAATATAATATATTAAGCCATATTGCAAAGCCTGCTAATACTGTAAAACATGTTTAAATAGTTACCAGTACATGCCTTTTTAGCAAATTTGACTCAATACATGAATTAACAAAATCTTAATTTAGCTAAAATGCCAACAATCTCATTGCGAGAATATACTTAATTCTAAATTAGTGACATCTTGAATTAGCGAAGTGACAGGTTAGCTAAATTAGCTAAAATGAGATGCTAGCTAAAAAGACATGTTTTACAGTATATGCTAAACCTTCTTACATTTGTATATTTGAGTTAGTATTTACCCTCCTATGTATTTGGTGTCATTTACTTGTTCTTGCACTACTATAGATGCAGAGAGGGAACTGCTTCCAAGCACCCAGCTTACTATGGAGCTAGATCTTGACCGGTCTTACACTCACACAGAGACTATACTGACACAAACCAATATTCATTTAGAGGAGCAACAGGAAAACCAGGTAAAAGAGCATGCCGAGTGCAGTGATGATCATAATGTTAATGCTGCTTCTGATGATGATAGTAATGCACGATCTAATGAGTGTGAACAATCTGTGTGGAGAGCATCTAGCTCAGACTCCAGTTCTTCAGAATCTGGGAGCTCTTCTGAGAGTGATGAAGATGAACTAGTTAAACAAAATGAGTTAGATGAGGGGGAGGAGGAGAAGGGAGATGAATCAGAAAGAGAGGAGGAAAGGGAGGAGGAGGTTGGGGAGGGGAATAATGATCTGAAAAGAAGTAAAGAGACTGCTGACTCTGATACAGAAGAGGTCTTGGTAGAAGAACAGATACACGATCAGGAAGAAGAAAAAATGCATCTGGAAACTTCTGATAATTATGAAATGCATGATGATATTAATGAGCATGACACATATATTAACAATGCGAGTGAAAGTGATCATGATAAAGATAGCAATCACGATAATGATAAAGATAGTAATCATGATAATGATAAAGTTAGTAATCAAGATGTTGATAGTGAATTGCATGGTGTTGCTGTGATGCACACACTTATGGATGAACACATTGATGAACAAAAGGATGTTGGACCTGTGCAGGAAAAAGAGCAGAAAAAGAAAAAGAAGAAAAGAAAGAAAAAAGATGAAAATGAAATTGATGTGGTTGCTAAAGCCCAAAAAGAAATTCAGGTGAATAAGTGAAATTATCTTCGAACTCATTATAAATTGAACAAGTGTAAACTTGCAGGTGTTCCGATTTAGCAACATATACCGATAACTTCAATATATTCTGATATATGTTATATAGTTTTTACATTACATCATCCCGGGTGATATGTCATATAGTTATTTTTTTTATTTTTATATTTTAGCCATATTTACGTTATGGTTAAACTTGTGTGCACCCGCTTCATGATGAATAAATCATTTGTCAGCAGTGTGCCCTCGATGCTCAGGAACATTTTTCTGCACATGCCTTCTCATGGGGAGATTTTTGGCAAGCACTGCCCTCTAGTTGTAGGAATTGTTCGCGATTAATTGCTCCAGATTGCAATATATTTACTCTACAGAGGTTTTGTATTATGAGGTTATCACCTGACTTCACATATATCTTAGAGCTGGTTGATAACAGTATGGGTATTGTTAAGTAAATAGAATATTATTAACAACTAGCTCTCTGAATAAGTCCTTCTTCACATATTTTTGAACATGCATAAAAGCATAAAGTCAACAAAGTTAGTACTCATAACACATGACTGTGGTATGATAAACTAGCCCTGAACTATCACACACATTTTAACTACATTTGTGTATGCGAGATAACACAAGATTATGTTTGCATATTTGGGAGAATGGAACAAAAATTGGTACATGTATTGTAGTATTACTTCACCAGCAAAAATACTGCATAATATCAGTATCAATGTTAAATTGTTATGGTCTTTTCACAGCATATGCTTGACTTCACGTGAATGGATATATGCTTTTTTAACTGATGATTCAAGTTAAAATGATATGTTAACTTGTACTAGATTTGATAGTTTTTAAATGCTTCTGTCATGTAGGAGCTTCCAGTGCCAAAAATTTGTTGTAAGAGTGAAGCTAAGAAACCGGAGATACAGGTAGAGTGGAATTGTGAGAAATCTCAAAGCAAGAGATATATACTACAGCATTATCTGGTATGTGTGATTGGTACAAAGTTTGGTGATGTCCAAAGTCACAATAGGTGAGCATTATCACATTTCACGTTTTGTTTATTTTCAGTTGTTAAGGTTAGAGATTAATCAAATCAAATCAAAGTCAACCCAGCCAAGATCCTTTGATTGGCTGACACCACCTTCAACTTTGGATGAGGTCTTTACATTTACTAAAACCCTATCCAAAAATTTTGGTCAGATTTGTTTATGAATGCCAAAGCTTAAAGCGCAGTAGTCGTCGCGCTGCGCATGTTCAACATTTGTGTTGATAAACATTGATTTTTCCACAATCCAATGCACTCTTCAAATGGAAATCACAAGTATGAGGTTTGACCTGGGCGCGACTTGCACTGATTACCGCCGGTGACTCCTTCGATGCCTTTCAATCACCTGAAAAAATACCCAATTAAAGCTTGGAAACGTCTCAGTTTGTACTTGTTGATCTGCGCAACAGTAAAAGTCGCCATCTTTGGTATATGAGACCCATATATCTCGCACCGCAGCCCGACGACTACCGCGCTTTAATAACAAGATCCTTTCAAATGTAGACCCAGAATTGAGGGCTTTTTTGAATCAACATTCAGCTAATAACATAAATGATGTCATTTGTGTTTACCACTCATTGATGGTTGACCATATTGTTACAACCTTGGTGTACATGTGATGGTAGAAAGATGATAATATCTTTATTTTTTAGTTTTGAGACAGGTATTTTAGAGGGCAAGGTATGTTATCAACATTGTTGGACAGTGAAAGAGTCTACTAAGTTGAAAATATCTGAATTGGCCGAGTCTACACAGTATAAGTAAGTTTGGATTATAACGTATATTGTTCCTGATCAAATGTTAATGCAGTAGACTGTAGTTACTCTGTTAGACAGACCTGAAATTGCACCTTATCGCATGGTGGTATAAAAACCAGTCATATATTCGAGTAATGGATTTCTGTTGGATGACTGTTTCTTTCCTTTCATCCCCCTGTAAGAATGGTGGGACTTCCAGATCTATAATCTTAAGTAGACTGTTAATCTGAGAATAAAATAAAAGTACAATGATGATGATGATGATGCTTGTTTCTAGCTTGAGGAACCAATTACAGAGGACACCAAAATAAACTGATCAGGAAAACAGATATCTTTCTTGCAATCGTCCGTGCAGCATTGCAATATTCCTAGAAACCATTCCAGTGATGTTTGTTTTGATTTTAAATATTAACAATGAGATGCTCCTGAACACAACCAATGAGATTCATATAGATTTGGAGTCAACATGAAGTAAAGATTTTGAGTGCAAGAATTGTGGGAAATTTTCTATTATTCGTCATCTGTTTTCTGATTGGTCTTTAATGATGTCACATGCAATATAGCTTAAATGGATACATATTACCAATGGTCATAACCATATTACTTTTAACATTTATTTTAACAATTGCTGAATTTATGGCCTGTAAATTCACAACTTAATGAATGTCTAAAAATTGACCACTATCAATATGTAAACATTGTTGTGCATCTGTTCTATGTCTCTTTTATAATTACCAACAGCTGAAGGCAAAGTCATAACAACCACTGGTTTTGGTATATATCAATTTTTCAAGGGAATCAAGAATGATTTTCTGATCAGTTTCTTTTGTTGTTCGCTGTATATTTTCATTGTAGATAAGATACCGTCAATGTCAGGTGTCTCATTTAAAGTTTAATAAAATTTGTATTTAAATTTTATTTTTTTCATCAGAGTATATGTGTCTTGTGTGTTCACACGTAAGAAGAGAACCGATGAAAAAGTTGAGGTGAAATCTGAAGAAGTGATCTGTGTGAGCGGTGGTCGGCCATCACCACCAATTCTGAGCATCAGTAATATCGGTCTACACCAAGTCTGTTTGAGTTGGGAGTCTGGCCTCACACATCCTGATGTGATACTGAAAGGATACCAAGTGTATCTTAATTTTAAAGAACTGGGTGAACTATTGTCTCCACAAACTACCTCATCATTAATACAAGATATTGCCATTGGTAAGAAGATAACATCACATACACAAGCTATTGAAAAAACATTTGTATTAATCAACTGGAAGGCTGTCATATAAAGTCAAAGGGGCATCTGTATTAATTCACTAAAATATGACTCTGTATCTCCTGTTTTTGTGGACTACCATTTTATGAGAAGAAATTTTACCAGTGTGACAAAACAAAATGCACTCATTGTAGTGGCAGCGAATTATTCTCACATAATTTTCTGGTTTCAATAATTATTGTAAAATATAAAATATATTCTCATTCTTTCAAAGCATAAATAATTCACTGTTTTTAATTTCCCTCTATTTGCTGGTAAAAGTGAAATTTACTATTTAAAATTCATGACAACACAATCTGTGAAAAACTCAAGTTTTCCCCAAATATCAGGATAGTGTAATTGGACACCAGTTAAAATTATTGCTTTAATATTATATTTATATATTTATTTATTTATTTTAAAATAGGAGCCAGTCATCATGTGTATGTGGAATCAGTGACTGACTTGCCAGTCGGTAACAGTGAAGCATCCAACGTTGTTACAATCGTATGTCCTCAGCCATTGGACCCTCCAAGTATCAGTTGTCTTCCCTCTGTTAAAAACTGTGCTGCCTTGATAGTCTGGCCTAAACCAAAGGGTCCAGACTCACAATTAGTGGCTGCATATAGGTATGTATTCTACAGTTGAAGTTATACTTGCTTGATTTTTTGTAATTTTTCAAACAATTTTGGATCACAAAGTAAAATACAGATATTATTAGATGCACATATTCCTAAAAAGTTATCTATTGTGATTCTAGGATATATGTAGATAACAAAGAAGTTGGTGAATTAGATGTGAAGAAGTCGGACTGTAGGGGAAACAGTTATCAGTATTACATAACAGATTTACAACCAGGTGTATCTTATGATGTTACAGTCAGAGTAAGTTGTGTGCTTTGTCAGAGTAAGTTGTGTACTTTGTCAGAGTAAGTTGTGTCAGAGTAAGTTGTGTACTTTGTCAGAGTAAGTTGTGTACTTTGTCAGAGTAAGTTGTGTACTTTGTCAGAGTAAGTTGTGTACTTTGTCAGAGTAAGTTGTGTATTTTGTCAGAGGAAGTTGTGTGCTTTGTCAGAGGAAGTTGTGTGCTTTGTCAGAGGAAGTTGTTTGCCATATTCACAAATTTGTGCTGCTTATTTGGGTCTTACATGTGCAACAACTAGATTGGTTTTCATCAATGATGTGCAGTGTTACTCTACCAAGGGGAGTTACAGACTCAATCAGATACAGCCTTTTCTTTCAGTGGAAGATGCTTAACAAATATTTTTAGAAACATCTTCCAAATTGATATGTTGAATTAATAGTAATAGATATCTTTATTAAACTCACACAGACATACACTGGTCAAAAAGAAGCTGATTTATATTCTGGTATTGTCTACTGTGGTGTGCTGAGTTCTATATCCAATGTACTGCCAGTCATGTGTACAGCTCCTCCAAAGTCACCAAGGCTTAGATTAGAAGGACTTCATAATCATGGTATTGATGTCACATGGGAAATACCACAACAGTATGGAGATGCAGCTTTGTCTGTAAGTGAAATAATAAATAAATAAATTATATAACTGGACAATCTAAGGATACACTGTATTAAATAGAATTAAACATATTCTATTATACATCTGTCACCATAAGTTACAGCATAGTCGTTGCATCTTATCTTATTTGGGAATGTGAATTCCAAATACAGGACGATTACATGATCTTTCCGAGGTGACAGACATTTTTGAAAACTCAAGGGAGTTCAATCAATTTTAACTATATTGCTTGGTGGTTAAATTGGAAAGATGTATAAGAATATATACATACTTTTCGTCATCCTTGTATTAACCTTGTATAATGACTTGATCTCTCTCCTGCAATATAGGGCTTCCAGATGGTAAAAGACGGGAAGTTGTATGGCTCAATAATTGCACCAGATGTGTTAAGTACCACAGTGAGTGGTGTTACACTGGGAGACGTGGCCACCTTACAGATTGTAGCATTAACAAACCACCCTGTTGGAAAATTAGAACATGAAGGCAGTATCTTCAGTGGAAGTGATTCTGGTATTGATAACACATCTGCAATTGTGCAAGATGAGAAAGGTATACTACTCAAACCACCATCGTTTCCTCATCAGCCAGCTGTTATACATCTAAAACCTCAGAAAGGAGAAGGTAAACATGCAACGTGTTGGCATGGTTTGCAGAGTGTACCTCCCTTCTCCTATGGTATTCATTTTATATCTCTGGCTTATTTCACATATGTCTTCCTGATTTTACCCCAAATCATTCAGATATCCAGGTTATTTACATTTTGTGTATTGTTAGCTTTGCGGCCAGAAAATGTTATTATTAACTATTATTCTCGTAATTAGATTAATTTTAATATTTGTTTTCAGAATTACCTCTTATGGAGAAATTCTCAGCTTGTAAGCCTGGACCGAAGTTGATGGTTAGTTACACTGGTTTAGTCCAGCCACCATCTAAAGTATGGTCAGAAAACTTAACTGGACATTCAGCCATTGTGGCATGGACAACTGGTCAGTCTTCTCATTTTACTGTGTTTTTATAATTGTTTTTTTGAATTGTGATTAATATATGATCATACCAAGCATTGAGAGTGTATTAGTCTAAAAATATGTTTGGTGCTTTGTCATTGTGTGTGGTGATCATCATTTAAATTTGTTTTACAGATGAAAAGAAGAAAAAGCATTATGTATCACCTGAGAACTATCAGGTGACGTGGTGGCCAGGTGACAATCCAGACACAGATATAAGAAGCCAGTCTACCACAAGTAAGAACATCTTTCATCTTTTCTTCTTACTCTCTCCATCTTTTTGCAATATAACAGTGAGAACAACTGCAGACATGTGTCATGCATATAATGGTGTTCATTTGTTTTTCACAGATGATCACATCACTATATCTGGGTTAAAGCCAGCCACAAAGTACACAGTGATTGTGGAAGCCAGAAGAGCTCAGCTATATAGTTCATATATAGAAGGTAATTCATGTACTCATTTATCTTGTGATTGTTTTCAATATCTTGTTCTTTTCATAATTGTATAATATGAGGTCTGTAGTGATATATCAATCTGTAGTGATATATCAATTTGTAGTGATATATCAATTTGTAGTGATATTTCAATCTGTAGTGATATTTCAATCTGTAGTGATATATCAATCTTTAGTGACATATCAATCTGTAGTGATATATCAATCTGTAGTGATATATCAATCTGTAGTGGTATATCAATCAGTAGTGGTATATCAATCTGTAGTGGTATATCAATCTGTAGTGATATATCAATCTGTAGTGATATATCATTAATTTTATTAACAATGTATATTTGTGCAGTACATTGTCTTCAATATCTTGTTACTGTAAAGTAATAAATGAAATTTGTTTTCAGTGCTCTATATCACCATTTGTCTATTATGGTTTTTTTTTTTATTTTAATGTTTTATATTTAATTATTTTTTACAACTAAAACAACAAGAAAGGTACATCACATTAAAGTGTCACAATAACAAAAGATACAGCCTACAAAACACAAACAAATAATATAAAATGTACAAGAAACTTTTTTAATATTAATCAAAATGGTGTTGTAGCGGGCCCAGTTTCTGAATAAAATTTTTTTCACTTAAAATATGTTTTTCAGTACTCATTTTCTCCTTTACATTTCTAATAAAATGGGTTAAAGACTATTATGGTTAGAATTGTCACTCTAATATACTGTATAATCTAATGATGTGACAGCTTTGACAGATTCAACTCGTACCTACTATTGTATTGCAGCAGTATATGAAAAGGATTAAAAATGTCCAGTCTCAAGTGACAAACAGTCATATATCCCAATTTATTTGTCTGCCCAATTTGTTTTCTGCTTTAGTGTTATGAATGTAGAATTGAGGAAACCTTTATTATGGTTCGCAAGTTATTTCTTGTTTAACATGGCTGGTTGACAACAGGATAGCATTTTGTAAAATATAATTTGACTACCGGTATATAATAAGAAATATGTTACTAAAATGGCAATCAGTCATCCAATTAGCTTTAACTATTTTGTGATTTACATATTGCTCATCCCTAATTTATTTAAGGTTTATGTACTTGCTAATGCTTGGAAATTCACTCCTACATCTGTGTTTTCTTATCTACAGAAGAGTCAGAGGAGAGAGATAACAGTACATTTATTCTGACTGCACAGTCAGAGCAGTTATGTGTTACTACTGGGTGTCCACCAGAACCACCTACCAACATTGGAGTCATCACTAGTAGGTGTAATAGTCTACAGATTGCATGGCATTCACCTGTAGAACATGGAATTGAAGTTATAGGTGAGATCTTAACTTGTGTATGATTAGAAAACCAGTAACAGCAATGTGCTATGTACATATTGCAGTACACAGTGTAGTATGGGATATTTTTATCCTGGGTGTATCCTAGTTTTAGCTGAGCTACGATAGACCATTGTCACTTCTACAGTCATGCAATCTTTGCTGGATTCTCAACCTAGCCAGCTAAATTGGGTGATCAGAAATTTGGGTTCTTTATTTGCTTTAATTTTTGTCAAGAATTTAATAGAAAATTATAGCATGAGTTTGTAAAATTTCACTAAGATGAAAATAAAATCTTTGGCACCTCTATTGGGAGGCTATTGGAGATGTGTGTGTTATATACAGTACATGCACTTCCATTGGAAATGTGTGTGTTATATACAGTACATGCACTTCCATTGGAAATGTGTGTGTTATATACAGTACATGCACTTCCATTGGAAATGTGTGTGTTATATACAGTACATGCACTTCCATTGGAAATTTAACAAATGATAACAAAATGTTTGACCAGTTCTCACTGTATTTTCTAATACTTTTTTCAGTAATTATATATATATATTTATTTTATGACACTATTGCAGGCCGTTGACAACAAAAAGTTCATAAATACAAAGGAATGATCATTCCATCTTCATCAACATTGGAAATAATATTGTCTCTTAATTTGAAACTGTAGAAGATATACTTTGATAAACAAAGAAATACAAACTGGTTATGAGAATTTAAAAGTGAAATAAATTTTAATAATTATAACAGTAACTTAAACTGAACATGTTAAATCTAGATTCTCTTTTTTAATACAGGATTAAGGGTTTATGTCTTTCCCAGTGAAAACAAAAAAGTTGGTTACTCTCAGTGCATGGAACTGTTGCCCGATATAACATCGTTAATGATACAAGACCTTGCAGAAAGCACTGAATATATAATACATGTACTTGCAATAACTCAAGAATACTTTGACCAGTTGCCATCGAGAAGCAAACGCAAAAAGAAATCACATTCTCTATCAAAAGATTGGGAAAAAGTTCCCAAAGACTCACCGTGGCTTCCATATGCAAGCATGCATGCAATTACCTCTGGGACACATGCTCCAGCCGATTTAACATGTGTCACATCCGCTATGGACACTATTGTGGTGAAATGGACACCACCTCAGGTGCTTGGAACAAATAAATTAGAAAGTTGTGTGGTTAGGTGGTCTGAGGAAAGTCGGAGTAAAACGCCAAGGAACGGTAACAGTCGTGGAAGTTTGACCGTACATCCAGAGGATACAATGGCTGAGATTACTTCACTGATGCCGGGAAGAAATTACAAGATTTTAGTTGAAGCGCACATCTTGGTAAAAATGACACTTGAGGAACAAAAGAATAGTGATAGTGATTATCGTAATGCACAGGTTGCTTCTGATGTGATTATAGTTAGGACGAAAGCTCCTGTAAACCCACCTGAATTATTTTTGACTGGGTACAGTTCTAACCATATTACATTATATTGGGAAAAACCAGTGTTATTTACAGCAATGCAAAACAAAGGTAAGTACTGAACATTTAGTGCCATGCAGATATAGCATTTTTATTTGCAGGATGAATGATAATATAACAGTAATCGACTATAACAAGTAGATATTCCAATATTAAAAGCTAAAATGTTATCGAAATGTTTAATGTTTCATTTTTATTTGCAGGACGAATGATAGTATACATTGTATGATTTGAGCAGCAACTATTCTAACTGTAATCAGCTATAACAAGTAGATATTCCAATATTAAAAGATAAATTTTTATTGAAACATCAGATGTTAAATCTTTTCCTCTTTATAGACATGTCTGGTTGCAGTAGTTGTATAAAACGCAATTTAGTCGGTTATAGATTAGATGTGAATGGTAGAACACATACCAGATTGGGACCAGCAGCACAGAACTGTACATTGACAAACTGTAGATGTGATAAAAAATATACCATTGTGCTAGTAGCTTTAACAACAACTGAAAATGAGAGGAACAGAAGAAAAAAGGTGAGTAACATGTAGACAATCCTTTCTATTATTGATTTCAATCTTCATTTTCAATCAAGATTTTTGCTGTGTGTTGGAGGTGCTGGATTTGGCATCATGGAGAGAATTATGTAAGATTTGACAACAGTAAATAAACAGAGATGTCAACACAATATGACTAGCAACCATGACAGATCCGGGAACTTTTAATGCAAATATCAAAAGTTCCCTCAAGAGGGCGCTATAACATATCTTGTGTAACATTGAGATCATACTCTCTAACATTGTGCAGCAGTAAGAATACTTGTACTAAAATTATGTTTTAAAGCTGCTAACAAATCTAGACATTTAATTATAATATAATTTTAGATTTTAATTTAATTTATGTTTTTATTTTTAACACTTTGACTTCCATACGCTCCACCAATGGGTTTTTGTGTGATAATTTTCTGAAAAGCCAACCCAGAACAGAATATTGGGTTTCCATATTACTATCTTAAAGTACATGCTGCAAAAAATGCATTTATGGTATCACTGCCTTAGTAAATGCTTGTCTTGTGTCCTGTAGATTGAAAGTAAGGAAGCAAATTGGAGAGATAGTAGCAGTACTATAAGTAAAGATGACAAGAATGAGGAATATGATGAAGCACCATCCCAGGCTATCGATGTTATTTTACCAAAACCACAACCAGGTAGGTTACAATATCAATTCTTAGTAGAGCTGATTGATACGAGCGTCATCATGGTCTGTATTAACTGTAGGTAAGTGTATAATACCAGCCCTTGATGAGACATGTATTGGCCACCTTATGAATATGTGATATCAGGGGATAACCTTTTGATCGCATGACCAATTCCAAGTGTCAAAAGACAGAGAAATTGTCGTTTTATGGATCAAAGTTTAAAATTCATATTCTACTGTATGCTAATAAAGTATGATGTGTGTCAGGGGTCAGATTTGCTGTTAGAGTCATCAACTGCTATTGAGAATCAGCAAAAATATTACCCTTCTATCTCTATCTTTTCAATATAAACTTCCAGAAAATATTATTGTGTCATTCTAAGAATTTCAGTCCAAAATTCTTGTATTGCTGTAATAAAAGCATATCGTTGTATGATTAGTTTTTTTTCTCACTGCATACTCTTTGAATGCATATAAAATGATGATATTAATAACTTGAATATTGTAATGTTTACTATACCATATCAGCTAATGATATTTCACACTAAATGTCACTAAAAGGCACTTTGGGTGTGGTGGAAAGTGTGCCATTCATTAATACCAATCCATTTTTTGAATTAAGTAATCCTGTTATATGACAACAACTTAGCATTCTCATCATTATACAATTTATGTTTTATTTACTGTAATAATACTGTTTAGCTCCGCTGTCGACTT